CGCGCGTTCATCTGGCGGTTATGGTGGCAGTCATAGTCAACGCGGCGGCGATGGTGTTAGTAGTATGCGACATCAGCAATCAAACAGCGGCACTGGCAGCGGCAGCGGGGCTGGTGGCAGTGGCAATGGCAATCATTCAAATGGAAACAATGACGACAATACGTGGCATGTTCAGACTAGCAAGGGCAGCCGCTCCCAAGCTGTGGATAGCATCAAGCTAGAGGGTTTGGTTAGTAACTTACGATTACGATGTCCATTTCCAATCGCTTCTTACTTTTTATGCCTAGCACCCATTGCAAATTTGAGTTTATTATATCATGTCCTAGGATTATGGTCTTCTCAGCTGTAAGTAACGGATGGAAGGCTGCGTAGTTCAGCCCAATAAGTACATATATTATTGATCAAGACGGAGGTTCCTATATAGCTGTATTTCAGTTTACCGTATAAATTTATACATGTTCCAGTGCATGGCTCATTCTACTTTTCAATCGAACATAATTCATAATTGTACTTGTATTGTACTTGAGTGCCATAGAAAGAGTAAGGTTTTATTTTAATTTAATTTTATTTTTTTTTTAAATATATTACTTCATTTTAAATAGTTTAGTATGGAGTTTTTCATTTTATAAGAATTCATTCCATGTTTTATGCGGGCCGAAGCAGAAAATCCTCATAGAAAAAGAAAGACCAATTTCCCATAGGAGAACGTATAACAAAATTCAGTCGTGTAGAAAGGGAACGGATAAATATGTGGGAGCGCGTGGGCTTCCTTTTATGCTCTGTATTATAACTGTCTATGGTCGCAGGGTATCTGCTTAAAAAAAAATTGAATTCGCTATATTTGCAGACTTTACAGCTGAATCAAAATTTGGATAACAAAAAGATGGGCGGCGTTAATCAGTTCATTAACTGGAATAACAATGCCATTAAACAATCGTCGACAACGCCAACGACAACACCATCAAATTCATTTGCTCCGCTCTCGTCATTAATTGACAATAAAAGTAGCACGGATCGAGACCGTAGTGGTGGCCCCAGAAATAAAGGTTCATATCACAAAGGCTCCATTGAGCGGGATCGATACAATGACCGTGGTAAGTGTGGCACAAAATACTATAACCAACCCATAGCTGAATGAAGCTATATACAAAAATGTTATATTTGATTTTATAGGCATGCATTCACGAACTGGTTCATCGCAAGGCTCGCGTGAGAATTCGTCATCGCGCGTCGCACAAAATGCGCAAAATCGTGGCATGATGAGCTCTTCCATGCAAAAATCTGCTAGTCACTCAAAATATACTCAGCCAACGCCAGCAAGCAGACTTTCCAACAAGGTGCGTATATATATACACTACTACAGTTTTGATCCTCAATTCTTTCCTTAATAGTCCCTAGGTTCTTCTTCCTTAAGCAGTGCGGGCGGCATACACAAGGGCATTGAACAACAGCAGCAGCAACAGCCCAATTTATCAAGTGGCTCAATCTCAGCTAGCACCTCAGCATCTCAGCTTCAGTCAACAACTAAAGGCATCGCGCCGCCAGCAACATTCATTGTGCCAACGGAGTCCGATTCGAAACTATTTAAATCTGTTTTGTCTGATATACTTGAAGCTGATTTAATGGTCGCTGAATGCATACAACGAATATCAGAAGTGCAGCGCTGTGGATTTTTATATTACATACTAAATGAATATTTGCATTTAGCGCAAGTGGGCAAACAAAACAGAAGTCATCTTGCAAACGCAATTGCCCAATTAATACAGCAGAATTACATTTCCGCGGAACATTTTAAACTGGCATACAACGAATTTTTCAGCACTGCTGCCGATTTAATGTTTGATGTTCCTGAATTGTGGCTGTATATTCTTCAGTTCACTGGTTTGTGCATATTAATATAGCGTATATATCGTATAATATATATAATTGTTATTTGTATTTAGGTCCATTAATAGTCAAGAAACATTTGACGATAACTGATTTGTGGAACAAAAATGCATTAGACAGCAGTCAACTGAAAATGGGTAAAAAGTTTCTTCATTGTTTTTTGACATATTGTACAAGGGAAGTAGGACCTAGCTTCACACACAGCATATGGAAAAAATTTAATATGCGCTGGTCAGATTACATGCCTGATAATGAAGTTAGTGATTTTATAAAATCGAATGTAAGTTTTACTTTACTGATATATGAATGTATTTGTATTATATATAATAATATTGTAATCTATAATACCTTATAGAGATTTGAATATGTGGAAAATATATTGAAGACGCCAGTGATTGATGAACGCGATTCCCACGAAACACACGTCCAAAATGTGATAGATCATATTGAGCAGTTGCTTAAGGAAGGCTCAACTGCTGATGAAATTATTGATTATATCAATGTAAGTTTGCAAATTCGACAACTGCTACTCGTTCAAGGCAACCGGTTACAGCATTCTTACGTGTTCTTTTTTAATATATTTAAAAATAAATACTTAACAGGGCAATATTGTTGTGGCCGATAAGCTGTTTATTAGAGGATTGACAGAAACTTTATGCAAATTTGCAATCGTTTACAAGGATAATAGCTATAAGCTTGATCCAGAACTCTTTCAAAAATTCTGCATACCAGTTTTTCAACGTTTTATCGGTTCTAATGAAGATCTTCAGCTCGAGTGCCTTTACGGAGTACAGTTGCTCGTTCATAGCTGGGAACAACCTAGAGGTATGGAAAAAATAATTTCATTTTGATTTTTAAAAAATATATTGGAAATTTTTGTCTCGTTCAGGGCTATTGAGCGAACTTTTTGGTGAACTCTATGATGGCTTTGTTATACAAAAGGAGTCGCTCTATAAATGGCGCGATTCGAAAGACCATTCAGCAGGCAAAGGTAAACAAATAAATAAAATATATAATAATATATTGTATATGCATAAATTTTGTTTTCTTATACAGGCGTGGCTGTTAAGAGTGTGAATCCATTTTTAAACTCATTATTCAACGATGAAGCCAATTAATATATATATACTCGTCGAGCTGATAGAACGAGTTTTAAGGCAGAGCGAAAATACACAATTTAACAGAACACTAGCAACAAAGTAAATTTTGCAGAAAAATAAAATATATACTTTCATATATATAAAGAAGTGTGGAGTTGTGGCGGAGGAACCAGAGTAAAAAATGATGAATATTCTGTTAAAAAAAATGGATGAATGCATATACACTACACGATTTTACACGGACAGAGTATATATATATATATGCATGTAAATTACAATGTATGAATGTACTATAAAAATAAAAGCTAACCTGAAGGAAATTTATAGTTATATAATAATTATTTACATACAATGTTATATGATATTGAGGACACAGTAAATGATACGGATAATTGGCAGCATCTACTAAATATGCTTCGCTTCGCATCCACACACACACACACACCCACACTGAAATGGATCGAATCACGATACCTCACAAAATCGTTTTATGTTCTGAAAATTGCACGTCAACTGAAAATAAAATAATAAAAAAATTACTAACAAGTAAAAAGAGAATAATAATAATCCAAGCCTAAAATTAATCTTGCAAAATTTTATAGACCTAATTGCCTAATCGTTTATATTTGTATCTCTAAGAGATTATCAATCTATTTGTAACTTTAAAAAAAGGAATGATAAATTCATTTTAAATATAATGTTTTTAAAGGTGAACAAACAAAACACACAAACCCGATTATTTTGTTGTAGAAAATGTCTCTCTCACTTGTGTATAAGCAGTAGAACTTCTGTGGAGTAGAGAGGTTAGACCTAATTGTTACTAAATTATTATTATTTCATAAAATTCAAGTTTATGTATATTCACGAAAATAGGAGCCAGCGCCCCTGGTCTCTAGCGCCCTAGTCAGCAATTGTTGTCAAAAGTCATTATGATTTAACACATTGCCAAATGTGCAAACTAAGAATATTAATTGATCATGCAAAATCTAATATAAGTTTCAATTGCTAATTATACTTCAACTCATTGTAAATGGGGTATAATGGATTTGTTAAATGTATGTAAAAGGCAGTCGATATAGCCATGTCTGTTTGTCTGCCCATCCGCCCGTCTGTCCGAATGCTGAACACATAGAAGAGTCAGAGCAACGTACATATAGTTGCTTGTAGTGTGCTAGCAAACTTTGCAAATATATTGGATAACATTTGGACACATTTGAACTCGCACACGTAAACACATCCGTAACTGATCATGCGCTTAGCAGTTACAATAAAAATGAAATAGTACTGTTTCTAGGTTAAAAATTTTTTATTTGCAGCAATTTAATTTATCATAAATTGATTTTTTAATAATAATTTAACAGGTATATAACAAATATGTAATTTCAAGGTGGGTTGAATTTTCGATTTTTTCGTTTTTTAAACTCAGTTTCTTTCTGTTTCTTCATCAATTTATAATTTTTATACTTTGGTTTGTTTTTACTTATTTTTTATATTTTTTTCGTATTTATATATTATTTTTTATTGTTGTTTAACTCTTAAACAATCCATCACTTTTTCTTTTCTTGATTTTTTTTATTTTTCTGCAGCCATCTCTCAGTAGACGCGTGTTCCGGCAATGGTTGGCTAATTTCTCCACTAATATATATATATATATATATATATATATATATATATATATATATATATATATATATATATATATATATCTATATATAGATATATATATATATATGTATACTGTTATATATATATACTTTTTTTTTAATATTTTTAATTTAATATATATATAATATATATATTAAATAACGCGTTTTATCATCTAATATTTGCTAATAAAAATATGTTTATTATTTTATTCTACAGCCTAGTTTATTAAGTTTACTATTTTCGACGTTTTCTTTTATTATAAAAGAAACAACAATTTGCTTATATATATGTACGTAATTAATTAATAACAAACAACGTTTTTAGTATATACATATATTAAAGTGTTTCTTTTTTTTTCTTGGTGTGTTTTATTATATACTTTATTTTCAATTGATTCGCTAATTAAGTTTCTTTAGAATTAAATGAAGTTTTAAATTTAATTCTGTTTCCTTTACTTGTTTATATCAAATATAAATAACGCACAAATCATTAAAAGATTAAGCTGATATAGTTTCAAGAAAAACATATGAGAAAAAACCTTTTCTTTATCTTAATTTTGATGGAGTAAACATTTGTTTCTTGCACAATGAATTGTTCGTTCAACTTCGCTAACTTCTGTCTACTAGTTCATAATTCAGATTTGAATTAGACCTTGATTGAAGTCAATATCTGCTAAGTGCAAAGCTCTCTTCCTTAAGCATTATAGTACTCGTTCACGAGGTACAAAGCGGAGGTATGGGTGACCTGAAAGAAGCATTTAGGTCAATTAAGGGATTTCTATATGCGTATCGTTCCTGTTCGATTTTGAGACTGGAATCTAGATATGTATTTCTTTATATAGATCAGCGTCGGGGCTTGTGTAATCGAATAAGGAAATGCGAGATTGAGCTAAGATTACGTAGTTTCTGGGATCTAGAGAACTATTTATTTTTCTATACAAATAAATATCATTTGAACATATTTTGCTGTTGAATGTGGCAAATGGGAAAAGGAAGGAAGGAAAAGTAATCAGAAAAATCGAAGCACTTCATATTTATTTATTTATTTATTAAAAAGATATTGACATTACTAGAGCCAACTAACACTATAATTATATAGCCAAAAAAAAGTACAGAAAATTATTACAATAGTATCACCGATGGGGGTATTTTATTTGCCAGTCCGGCCAGCTATGCCCCTTTTCACAGTGATCAGTGATACTATTGAAACTATGAAAAACAGAAAGTGTTAAATCAAAAACTTAAAATAAATATTAAAAGAGCTTACATATAATTAAAGTAATTACAATTATAATGATGATTAAGATAAAAATTAGTAAAGAAATGGGAAAATATTATAAGATAGTGAAAAGAAAAAAGAATAAGTGATAAAAAAAAGAGTAAAAGACGAGCTAAAAATAGACTATAGGATAGGATTGAGAAATCACTGCACAAACATTGGCAACAAAATATACACCAGTTCTTATACCTGAGCACTGCAAGTCATTTTCCTAAGGTAAGCTAAAAGCAAAAGGATTTTATTATAAGGAGACAGAGCTCTAAGGAAAAGGCGTGATACTATTTATTATTATTAACACGCAAAATATTAAACGCACTGTGCGTTGAATAATCCGTAGAGCACAAAGGAAAATAAAGCGGACGGAACAGAAATTTTAAATCGCATCAACAAAAAGGACGAATCAATATTACCGATAATCAATTTATGCAGAAAAGCAATTCCTAAAACTGTTCTGCGACACATTAACGATGGTAGATCAATGAGCTGACGCCTACTATGGTTAGACGGTAAACGTTTAGATCCCTTAAGGCAAAGGGAAGAAACTGTTTAATAAACCCAAGAAAATTCAACAAATTTGAAAATATATGCTCGTGAACGAGTATATGCAGCTTTACTGCAATTGAAGCTTTGACTTAAATGCTGCTTATCTTAGGTGTGCTTCATTGAGATCTTAGTTGGTAATCTACTTGTATGGTATATATATATATATATATATATATATATATATATATATATATATATATATATATATTAAGGGCACTCATTGGAGCCCTATATTTGCCGCAGATCGAGATCTATTCGGGCTTCAAGCGATGCCATTGTACCACAGTTTGTTTGGGTTTCGAGATCATATCTTGCCAATGCTTTGTCTCTGAGGCACCTGAACCGTTCTTACCTGAGTGAAGATTACAATATATCAAATCTGAAATTTAATGTAATGTAATGTTAAGCTTTTATTTACCAGCTAACAGTATTCGGCCGATCAACTCGTTTCTACCAATATTATCAAAGTCCATGACCATAACGTCCAAGGAGCACTCGCGAATCTTTTCCCATGGCACATTAAAGCTGAATGATTCATTAAAGACTGGATTAAGCGTACAGGTGAATATTGGTGTTTTTCTCTTCTCTACGCGCTTATCGCCAAATTGAAGCCAAACTTTCACATACGGATCTGCAACAATTAATTTATATTTTAATTTCACATCTCTACGTTATATTTATAACAATAGCTTTCTATATTTGCAGTGTTTTTCCGAATAATCGGTAACTTTCTTCATATCCCTGGTGTGAACGAAGTAATATAGATTAAGGATTTCTTATGAGCATTATGAAATATCAGGCACTTGCGATTCAGCAATTAAACACATTATATGTCCTTACTGCATTCTGAAAATTGCAATAACTGATGCATGCATGATCTAACTCGAAATTGATTCAATTATACGGTGCAACGACAGGCGCTGCTCTTGAGAGTATTTCCGTGTGTGTGGTCCTCTGCATGTGCTGGGGGCATGCGTGCAATAAACGAAGCATGGAGAGAGAACCCCTGGTCGGGCACTCCCCAAAGCGATCTTGTTGGTTTCATGTAGGATCGCTGCTGTGAGGCATTCCAAGTCGTCTAGTTAATTCTCTTAGTTGCTATATATATATTTTTTTTTTTATATATATATTTTTCATGTATATAATTTACCTGACTTTCCGTTGATATCTTTAGCTTTTAGATTTCTTGCTTTGATTAATGTCAGCGTTAAAATTGAGTTTGAAGGATGATAGCATAGTGAAGATAAAAGCTCGCCGCACTTATCCTTGGCTGGCGGCTTCAAGGCCTTCCAAAATGATTGCTTGCCAGCAAAGTCCACCTAAAAGGCACATATATAACTGCTATCTGTTATCTTGAACAATAATATTACCTGGCACAGCGGCAAAAATACTTCACCAATGGAATCGTCTCTTGAGAAACGATCATAATCGAAGACATGTAAATGAAGAACCTAAATAATTGTGGATTTTATTTTAATTAATTAATTTCTAATCTATGAGGCGAACATCTTGCGCATTGCTTCACTTACTCGCGATTGCAGCTTTTGTATTGGAAAGCCCTCGAAATAGAATGTTTCATTCCAGCGCGGGTTCAAAGTTCTTCTCTTTATCTTGGTCTCTAGGCGATGTTTTTTATCTGGCAATAATGTCACTCGCACATAGGGATCGGAAGTTCCACTTAAGTCCTTCGCTGGCAGCTCTTTGCCCTGCAGTACTTTCAATATTAGCGTCGTATTTTGAAAATCATATTCCAATGAAAAGTGAATCTGGCCGACGTTTTCACTTGGATCCGTACTATCCAGGTACATATCTGTCATCGATATACTTTTGTTCTATAAAATTTCCAATATATTAGACTAACTTTAACTCAATTATATTAATTTGTATACCTTGAACCCATTGAAAATGGGAAATCAGAGTTTAATGATTTTATACAAATGCATGAAACAGTTAGAAGGATTCTTGGCACAATGAACGCATCGATTTCAGAAGATATAAGAGCTGGAGACTTGTTTTAGTTTTTATTTTACGCTGAATCCATTGAAAATGGGAAATCCGGGTATAATGGTTTTGTTGAAATGTATGTAACAGGCAGAAGGATACGTGGCAGACCCCAAAAAGTATATATTCTTAATCAGGACGACGAGCTGAGTCGATTTAGCTCTGTCCGTCTGTCTGTCATCCCGCATGTTTGAACGCATCGATTTCAGAATATATAAAGCTGGAGATTTGGATTTTTTTTAATGTACGTATATATAGCGCGCATATCGAGTTTATTTGTCATACCCTAAACCCATTGAAAATGGGAAATCAGGGTATAATGGTTGTGAAAAAAATGTAACGGGCAGAAGGAATCATCACAGACCCCACAAAGTATACATATTCTTGATCAGCACGACAAGCTGAGTCGATATAGCCCTGTCCGTCTGTCCGTCTGTCCGTCCGTATGAGTGCGTCGATCTCAGAAGTTATAAGAGCTAGAGAGCTGAAATTTGGCAGCATACTCGTGTATACCATACGCAGTACGTTTGCTTTATTTTTTTGGATAACTCATCCGATAACTGTTTTATCAAGAATAATCGAAAAATTGATTTTGTTTTTTCAGTCTAATTTGAACACTTTCAGACCTGGAGTCTTCAAATTTGCGATGTATATAAAGTTAATGGATACAAAGATTTTGTAATTTACAGATTTTGGATACCACGCCCCCTACGCCCCCAATTTGTAAAAAACGCATTTCAAGTACTAGATATTTTTGCTTTAGAATGTACACATATTTTATGCTCTGAAAGTTTCATTAAGATTGTATGTCTACAAAAGAAATTATTCAAGAAATAAATTCTCATAATATTGCTCACACTGCAGCGCAGCCCAAGCGCAGTCGCTGCTTACTGCGCAGTTAGCAGAGCGTGTCTGGATGCATGTGTATGTATGTGTGCATAGAAGAAGTGCAGAATGTGTAGAATATCTGCTTAGAGGGTTCAGGGTATCTCCTAGTCGAGCAGTCTCGACTGGAGCCTTCTTATTTGTTTTGTAAAAGACTTTGGCAAATGCACGCATATCATGAAAATAGTCTATCTACAAGAAAAGTTATTGAACAATTAATTTCCAATAGTAAGCCCACATATTCAGCTCATCGCTGTTAATGCTTGCCTGCCTATGTGTTTCTTGTATAAGGAGAATGACGCGAAGAAATTTTGAATTATCAGTTCCTCGAAGGGTTCAGGGTTTCTTACTTGTTTTTATGCGCATTCACGAAATTTAAACGAGAAAGTATATTGGTTTCGTGCATTTCCGTTTTGTGCGGCCGTTTGTCTATCTTTCCGAATGCCCGTATGAACGCAATTTTTTCGGCGCCGTTGAAACTAGAAACTTCAAATTTCGAACACCTATGCTATTCGTGTATATCTCCGATTTATAAAGTGTTAAATTTTCCGAATCCGCCCACTAGGGGCGTGGCAAATCAGAAAATTCATTTTTCGATATACCCAGAGATCATATTAGTTAATGAGCTAGAAAGTTATAATTAGGGAAGTAAATCCGTGTCGACCACCCAAGATCATCAACCTATGGTGGATAGACCTACGCCCACGAGGGGCGTGGCAAATGGGACCTGAAGATATAGTGATTTTTCAAATTCTGTTATACTTTGGGCACTATTGAAAGAAGAAAACATCTCCTGCAGTTTAAAAGCTAGAAACTTCAAATTTGGATAGTTGAGTTACTGGTAACCTCCTATAGCGATGAAAAAATAAAAATAATTCTTAGGCCTCTTTAGGGACGTGACATATCGAAAAATACCCTGTAATTTTCATATTCTTTAGCGTAAGCATTCAAAAATCACAGCTAGGTTACCATTAGCTCGTTCTAAAAACTGACCAAAAATGAGGAGTCTGTGGCTACTATTGGCGTTGCAAATCGGGAAAAACAGAATTCTCTACGCAATTAGAGGTATAAACTCAAAACTTAGCTACTAAATTGCTGATGGGGTGTGAATGAGTATTCTGCAGTTGCTAATGCGAATGACTGAATGTTGCAATTTAATCTATCTATTAATTTCTGGAACTTCCTCAGCAAACTGGATGCCTTCAAATTTTGTAATATTCAATTTACTCTAAAAAAGAACACAAATAACAAAGAAATCTTTGGTCCAGACTGCTCGACTACGAGATCTTCTGATCTTCAGTTCTTTGTATTAACTGATATTCTAATCATTCTACGCTTCCTTTAGGCATTCTGCTATACATACACATTCTCTATTCTACTCAAAAACTTCAAGTATCTAGCTCTTATATATTCTGAGATCGACGCGTTCATACCGAAAAGGGATGGTCCCATTCAGCTCACCCTAATAAAAAATATATATAGACTTTATAGGGTCTGCCACACCTGCCTGTTCAGAGGATTATAATAAGAATATAGAAGTAAGGCATTATTACACAAGGACCCTCTGTGATTTCAATCTATTTTGATTTAAGCTTTCTTTTTATCAAATCGATTGATATTTTAAGTTTTGAAAAATTGTCAATATGATATTTGATATACAACTTTTATATTATCGATATATAAACATTTTTTTGATTTTTTAAAAACTTTTTTCCCCCAATAAATTTATAATCCGTCTCAAAAAACAAGAATAGTAAGAATACGTATTTTTTATTTATATGATAAAGACCGCTTAGCTCCAGTATTCGGAACTCAAAACTATCATAGTGCTTTTATTTAATATGCGACGCCATAAATAAAAGCACTAAGATAGTTTTGAGTACCGAATACTGGAGCTAATATGCGACGCCATATCTGATGTGTTGGGCACTTCATTTTATTACTTTAAGGCACAAATTACATTTGGCTGATACATTTTTAAAGTCAGAATAATTCAACATCACCATATTCAATTTGTGTACTTTTCGCTTCACTTATAACTCAAATATATTAAAAACATGTTTCGATATAAATATATTTTTTATACAAAAATATCGATATATTGATATTTTGATATATTTTCGCCCACCCTATAGACTCGTAATTCAAAGTCCAATTATTTATCACTTAATATTTATGTAAATAATTATATATTATTGATATATATAGGGATACACACCGCTCCATCTTTAGATGTTCCATCATTTGCAGTTGCTCCTGTGGAAGTATTCGATTTTGCTGGTGTCGCTGCTGTGCCGCTCCTATAATGAATTTTGGTCGTTATATATATGTTACATATGTGGTCTATAATCTATATATATAAAACAAAGTCGGGTTTGTTACAAGTCTTATAACTCGAAATCTGCTGGACCAATTTTCATGGTTTTTGATTTGTTGGATTTGTCTCCGCCCCGGATAGCAGAATATATCTTAAAAATACTGAAAATTGACGAATACTTGAAAAATGCGTTATCCCTAAAAGTTCTTTAATTTCGGAGTCGTCTTTGCATTGTGATTTAGAATTTTCTTAGTAGGCTTGATACCAGTGACAGTTTTCGGGCATGCTCTCATTTAAAACAATTATTCATGCGAGTGCATATTCAGTATTACTATTAATAATAAGTAAGAAAGCTCTAGTCGAGACTGCTCGACTAGGAGATACATTGAACCCTCTAAGCTGATATTCTAATCGTCATCATCAGTGTGGGCAATATTATGAGAATTTATTTGTCTTTCTGCCCGTTACATACATTTTCCCAAACCCATTTTCAATGGGTTCAGGGTATAATAAAAATGCCGCGTCCTAGAAGATCTAATCTTTCCCAGCGAACCCGTAATGCAATTTGGCGAACAACGAGAAGTCACCCGAAAAGAGCTCCGCGTTAGTATGGAGCAAAGAAGGGCCTTAATTCGTGCTTCTCGAACGTGATTAATAAATATGCGTGTTTTTTTTAGTACGTATAAAAGGTGAGGCAAATAATGAGCAATCGAATACAATATTACGTTACTGTTAATCACCAAACAGTTTTTCAACTTGATTAATTTATGTTTGATTAGCAGACAACAATGCCACGGAAACGCAAGGGGGCTAAATTGAGTCGTCGAACACTGAAATCTAGAGGCATGCAGGATAGAAGAGCACAAAGATCAGATCAAGAGAGGCAACAAAGCAATGCAGATGTCCGTGTAAGCATGGCGCAGTTACAATTGGAAGAGGCACGAGATGAGCGAAGCCAGCAAAGACAATTAGAACGAAGAGAAGCGCGCAGATTCGTAGTCAACAGCCGTAGAGGAATTGACCGACAACGTCAACAAGTAAATCGAGCACTTACAGCACATTCCAAAGTGGTCATTGGTACATTGGACAAAGAATACCCGCACTGCCATGCCCTTAAATTTAAAAATGAGCCGATCGGGGTGGTGCTCCTCAGGAAAAGAAAAACTCCCAGAAATTGAAACAGCGCCGGAACCATTGCACGGCTTCCTTATCCAGATTCTTTGCTGTTCTTGCAGTCAATGCGAAAATTCAATTCTTGTTTTCAAATGGCATCGTTTGGAGCAGTTCAATTTCACAGTCAAAGTCAAAGGCCAAGTTTACCACAAAGTCAGTTAACAATTGGAGCCAAATGAACCTTATAAATTTGTACAAATTTACTTTATGGGTGGCGAGGACTCCGAACGGGCACTCGCCATCGCGTGGATGCCCGTTGCAACTATAATCACCTCAATTCACCTTTTGCAACGCGCATCGTCAGCGAGCTGGACGCTCTGTTCAATGAGCACAATGCTTTGTTCAGACTTACCCGACCTGCACACAAGATTTCGTGAGAATCGGTCCAACCGTTTCGGAGGAGTTTGGCAACAAACACCGCGACACGAGAATTTTATATATAAGATAAAACATACTTCGGTAGCTTACAACGGTTTCGACTATTACTGCATCCCCACACACTTATAGTTAATGAGATATTTTGTATTTAAGTACAATATATTCCCTAGAAACAATGGATAGGGCAAAGCAACGTTTGCCGGGTTAGCTAGTACATATCTATATCTATCTATCTATATATATAAAAGAGAGTTGTGTAAAAGTGTCTTAGCACTTATAACTCGAGATCTGCTGGACCAATTTTCATGATTTTTGATTTGTTGGATTTGTCTCCGCCACGAGTAGGTCAGTAGATCTTTAAAATACTGAAAAAATTTGACGAATACTTGAAAAACGCGGTTTTTTCCCAAAAGATTTAAATTTCCATTTATACTCAGTAGCCTTGACAACAGTGACAGTTTCGGTCCTGTATAGAAGTAAATAAACAAATGTAGTCAGTCAGTCTACGGCACAGCCTCGAGCAGACCTGACTATTCAAAAAAAAAAAAAAAAAAAAAAAAAAAAAAACTATTCAAAAAAAAAAAAAAAAAAAAAAAAAAAAAAAAAAAAAATTTTTTTTACAAATCAAAAAAAAAAATATTTCAAATCAAAAATCTGAAAAAATTAAAAAAAATCAAAAGATTAAAACCTGACTGTTCAAAAAATAAATAAAAAATTCAAAATTCGAAATTAAAAAAAAAATAAGTTAATTATTAAAAAGTGTATTTTTGGCATTTTATATTTTTGGACTTTTAAACTTTATAAATAATAATTGTGTGCGTGCGTACAAAAGCTAAATATCTCGAATGTTCAGGTATTTGTTTGTCTCAAACATAAATTTGTGTAAATTATTTATATTTATATTTCTCGATTGTTTTATATGGTTTTGTGCGAGGGCAGTATTACTATTAATAAAAATGCCGCGTCCTAGAAGATCTAATCTTTCCCGGCGGACCCATAATGCAATTAGGCAACGGAATATCGTGAGTCAATTATCTGACGAAGAGCGAGAAATCGCCCGAGAAAGGCTCCGCGTTAGTACCCAGCAAAGAAGGGCCTTAATTCGTGCTTCTCAAAGAGAGGCAGCCCGTGAAATGGCAATAAGAAATGGTTCAAGGATTGATTTGAATCGAGAAGCGTTTCGATATGATTGCACCATTGACTATAGCTTGAATCGTTTAGTTTGCATTGGTCCAATGGACGTTGTTTGCCAGCATTGTGGCGCATTGAAGTTTGCTGGTGAAACGCCCGGTTTGTGCTGCCTTAGTGGTAAAGTGGCATTGCCATTAGTGGTCCCGCCCCCAGAGCCATTGCGTTCCCTACTTTTCTAGCGAGCACTCAAAAATACAATGCCTGTTTCCAATTCGGGGCAGAGACAAATCCAACAAATCAAAAACCATGAAAATTGGTGCAGCAGATCTCGAATTATAAGTTTTGTAACAAACTCTACTTTGTTTGATATATATAGAGACTGTTAAGCGGTACGAAGTTCGCCGGGACAACTAGTATAAAATATTTGAATATCAATGTCGATATTCAACCAGACATATATGATTTATCAAGAAAAGCCTTTCAGTCATGGTATAAATTTTGAAAAAACTACATATGTTTTATGATGGAAGAACTTAGATTTATTATACTCATTCATGAAAGTGAATTAGTACATTGGTTTTGTGCAATGTCCGTCTTGCTGTCCGTCCGTCCGTCTGTCCGTCTGTCCGTATGAACGCAGTTTATTTCGGCGCTATTGAAGCTAGAGACTGAAATTTGGAACACATACTCACGTATATCTCCGATTTATAAAGTGTTAAAATTTTCCCAATCATATTAATTGAAGAGCTAGAAAGCTGAAATTTGGAATGTAGATCCGCGTCGACCACCCAAGATCATGAGAAAAATACGCTGTAACTCACACATTTTTAGAGCGTAAGCATCCAAACTTAGCTAGTTCTATGAACTGACGAAAAATGAGGTATCTAGCCTAGTAAGGGCGTGGCAAATCGAGAAAAACTGAATTTTCTACAATATTAGAGCTAAACTTAGCAACTAAATTGCTGATGGGATGTAAATGAGTATTCTGTAGTCGGTAACGCCCGACTGCAACGTTCTTACATGTTTTTTGCCATGTTTTTCTATGATTTATATTTAAATAGGTTTTTGAACTAGTTATTTTCTTTATATCTCATATTACTAACTAGTCCCCGGTATATATGTATAAATCTGTACCTACCCAATGAGAGGCGTTCGCAGGTTTAAAAATCCATTCAATTTTCGATTAATGTTATTTTGTAGAGGATTCGTAATTGCCTGGGCAACGGGCACTTGAGGCTTACTAGGCGGATTCCCAGATTCTAAAATGTCCTGAGCAGCTCTAAATAGAAAATAATACCATTAGTTTATGTATGTGTAAAAATATGTACATAGATCAGTATAATTTGTCATTGCTTCTGTAAATATATTATTATACGCATTCTAAGGAATACGTGACCATTAAAATATTGAACGTCAAAGAACTCTCTCAATAAACCAAACAGAATATTGTATTGGAATATTGTATCCTATCCAGCAGGGCTTAGCAAAAATACTATTTGGCTATATTCTCTCCCAATGAATCTGTCAGTTGCTTATCGACCCTAAATTATTTAGATACATTTCTTGGCTAATAATAGACTTAAAGCTTCCAGATGTGAGCTCGTAATTTCAGTTGCAAGTGTAGCTAATACTTGTATGTTCTTCTATAACAATAAATCAGTTATAAATACTATCAAAAGTATAATACTTTGAGCTAGAATTGAATCTAATATGTAATCTGGAGTCAGTTGTAGACGTGGTTCAACCCATTTAAACTTTCAAGTCAGAAGAATGACAATGTAGTAAACTATCAGCTTTGCGTATATGACCTTACCTCAAGCTGTAGCTACTTGATTCCTCGTCTTCATTGGGCTCAATAAACTGCAGCTGTGACCTTTTGTGCCGCCACCACAGATATCCACCAGCCAAAAATAGGGCTATCGCAATAATTAAGCCCAGTATAGCTAGGCAAGCTATCAGTATTATGCTCGCCATATCTGTAACAAGTTCAAATAAATCTATATCAGAGAATCACATAATTTTTTGGAATTCGTACAGGTTTTCAAAACTAATATTACAATTCAATATTGTATAAAATACACATACGAAATTCGGAGACTCTAGATAAAGGCTTAAATCGATGACATTAGAACGGCAATAGTTATTGATATCTTTAAACAAACTTTATATATGTGTGTTAAACGGGGACTCACAAATAAATGGTTATACATATGCACAGACGAACAGGCGACCTAGCTCGTTGTACTGAACAAGAAAATATCAACTTTATGGACCCTATATATATTTTAGCATTATACTCCGATTTCTCATTTTCAATGTGATCTACCTACATTCCAAATTCCAACTATCAGGACGGACAGAAAAATTAGCATTGACACTCAACTCAAACACCCGCTCTGTTTAAAGGCTGTGCACATTTATAAAGCTACAATAATAATTCGAATTACAATTATATTTCTATAATAATTTTTTTAAAGTAATTGTAATTTATATATGTATATTAAAATCAATTCGGAGATTCTAGCTACAAAGATCTTTGAATATACAGCAACAATAAAAACAAAATTTCAATATTGTTTTAATTTCAAGTGTCTGGATCATCCCCTCAACGTTCATACATAAACGCAGGCGGATGGACGGAAAAGATGGGTCACCCAGCTCCTTTTCCTGTTTAAGAATACATTTACATATATACCAAATGGTGATGGTAGTGTGGGTGGGGGGGTGTCATCTATCTGTTACATACACAATATCATTATACCCCCTTATATATAAATAAATATATATATATATATATATATATATATATTGGTCTGCTGCGTGTAGCTCAATGTGTGTACACATGTATTTACATATAATCACATTCAATATTCACTTATGCTTGTCCTACAATGAACCTTACTGATAAAGAAAAATATTTTTTTGTGTAGCTTACAGATAGAGAAAAGTTTCGAATTTTACCTTTCAAATGATATCATATATAAGTATATATAATATATATATATATATATATTGATATATCCTTTTGAATAATTAAGGACAATTATACTGCGACGTTCTAGGTTCTGTAATATTGTAATATATATATATATAAAAATATATATATATATATATATATATATATATATATATATATATATATATATATATATATATTATTTATTTACAACTCTGCTTCACACATCTTACACATTTTATTTTTTATTTTTTAGTTTAAAAAACACTTTTGCGAGTTATGTGTGTATAAGTAAATGTGACTAAGCAGCAGGGGATGACGATGACAGTAACCGACGAACTGGTAAAAGTAAACGCCGAAAACAGAAAAGCTCATCCATCTCAGTGGAGAGTCAGAGGTGAATATTGAAACTTTTTTATATATATATATATATATATATATATATATATATATATATTCTGTATTTATATATATATACATATATTTAACTGCAACTAACATTTTACATGCGTTTTAGCAACTCAATCAAACCTAACCAAATTATTATTATGGAATATAGGACTTACATTTATAACTATGGCTGGAAAGCTTATTAAGCGACCCGTTCGCGCAGGTCGACTTCTTCTAAATGTGACTAAATTCAAAACAAGTTTTATTACTTACTTCTCTCTTTTAATAGAGATAAATAGTTTTAAAGCTATAAAAATATCATAGGTTCCTGAAGATTTCGTAAATTTAAATAAGTCTATTCATAAATAATAATGTCGATTATCGAAATCATTTTCCTTTGCCTTTATTAAAATGCGTTTTCTGTATTTTACTTTTTATACCCTGAACCCATTGAAAATGGGAAATCAGGGTATAATTGTTTTGTTGAAATGTATGTAACAGGCAGAAGGAGGCGTGGTAGATGCCACAAAGTATATATATTCTTGATCAGGGCTGGGTCTATTTGGCATGTCCGTCTTTCCGTATGTATGAACACGTCGATTTCAGAAGATGTAAAAGCTAGAGACTTAAATTTTTTTTTTATGTCCGTATATACAGCGCGGATATTGAGTTTATCACCAAAAATCGCCAGCCCGTTATTTTTTATCGATAAAAAACCGTATCGAAAATCAGTTTTAAAATGATATCTCCTACATTTTTAAAGCTAAATTCTTCAAATTTCATATGTATATGCATTTTATACAATTTCGATTTTTGTTAAAAGTTACCCCCTTCCCTATATCCACCCCCTCACCCTCACATTTGTAAAAGGCGTATTTCAAATATTTGAGACTTGTGCTTTGGCAAATGCATGCATACCCATGTAATAATCAGAATCTGAAAGTTTCATGAAGAAAGTACAACCTCAAAAAAAGTTATTAAACAATTAAATTTCCATGGAAAGCCGACACTGCAACCAATGCGTGTTTATGCGTGCGTGCGTATGTCTGTGTAATAATCACAAATGTTTAAATTGGAGTTCACTTATTTATGGACAAACCCAAATAGAACTTTCGTCAATTCGAAGCAAATTTTCGAAGAAATATATTTGTGCTATATAAAGTAAAATACAGGATATCGGTTAGTCATGATATCTTAATTCAAGTGGTGAAATCCGGTGTAATATCTTTACGAGAAAGAAATTCACCAAACTCATGGAGAGCGTTACAAAGAGATAGAAAAGAGCGGGAGCGAGAGAGATATGGAGAGAGAGCGAGTAGTAGCGTTTTTATGATACTCAGGGACCATGCGCTTTAAGAATTTTAAATTCTGCGCATGTCAGAGGCCTCACCAAACGCAAGTCTGGCATTGTTTTAGACATTTTCCTTGTTTCTCGAATTATTTAATGCTTCTTCTAAGCGCACTATATGTACATACATACAAATATATGAAAAATAGAAGAGAAGTGGGAGAGAAAAGAGCTATTTTTGCCATTGAATCGACCAGCTGCCCAGAATCAGAATCAACTCAGTTTAAGTTTAGTCGCAAGGTACCCGTATCGCACAACGCACCTCACATATTTTGTGCTTGAAATTGATGTGTGTAGGTGCATATATATCTATGTATGTGATATATATACATCTTTGTGTGTACTCATTAGGTCCCTGTATTTATGAAGGTACTTATACACACGTACACTTATAGGTACCGCGGGTATGCATGCTGGTGTAGGTACACATGCATGACTTATCCCATAAGTCCGAATGCATTTAACTGGATACGCGTTGAATATGTTTTAAAAGTATTACCATATGCTCCATCGGAATAAAAGAGCAAAAGTTTGTTAAATGTCTACAAATAAGACTATATATATACATATATATGTGTGTGTGTCTAAATATATATAGAAGATTAGAGAGTATGTGTATTGTGTAATAATTGTGTAACGTTCACCAATCGGAATATAAATATCCTTATATATATATATATATATATATATATATATATATATATATATATATATAAAATATATCCTTATCTTGATATATCTATATATACCAATATCTATACCTATATATATATATATATATATATATATATATATATCAAGATAAGGATATATGCAATAATTATTTAAATTGACATTTCAGACGTATCGGCTCAAAAATGAACAAGAAATTTAGAAACGTATAAATTTCGTATAATAATGGAATTGGCTTGAAAAATACAAAACCATTTTCTTGAAAATTGAAAGAGAAATATGTCCAAAGTATATAGGTAACTATGTAAATATATATACATATATACATATATGCATATATATATATATATATATATATATATATGTACCTTCTTATTCGCAGATTCCTGTTGTTGAAATCGGGCTGATAGGATATGATATATAAAGTACGCAAGGTATGTTTATACCAGAAACACTAAGAAGCTGTATGATCGAGACGGACGTATCTTCCTATTTACAAACATCATCTACCGGACAGGTAAAAACTATATATGTATGTATATGCAATATGTATACATTTCGGGCTATAATAATACTTTTGCATTAAACTCATATAAAGAGTAAAAGAGTAGAAAGGCTTTCGCCAGGATATTCGAGGGAATATATTAGTATTATGTTGTGACCATATGAGGATAGAATAGAGGATGGAAAGAATGAAAAATGTTGTCCAAGCATTGGGTAATCATTATTTAACTACCAATTGTTGGTCGAATTGATTTGGCTAAGGATTGGCTCAGAGATGGCGTATTATTATCAATTGATTAATTATCATAACTCTGCCTGAATTAAAAGCTTTTAATGTAGTTGGGATTGATTACTTCTCGCGATTGTAGGGAATTAGATAGAAATACAGAGCGATACGATTGCTGGACAGCACGCTTCCCACTCACAGAAGATAGAAGACAGAAAAAGAAACAAGATAAATTATTGATAGACAACACGATATACTTAATAATATCCTACTCTCTTCATTTGGTCAAAACCGAACATTTCCAAGGTAAATCTTGAAATTAGGTCCGATTTTTATTACCCCATTATATCATATGTAAATATGATCGGAAATATAACATTTGAGGTGGTATCCCATATAATCAATTTTTTTAATCATAAAATTGACAGATTTTGACAAATATTACTATATGTGTATATGTTTATATCCCTTCCCGATACCTTGAGCATTTTCACTCATAAAATTATAATACTTATCGAAATTCATCTTATCTGAGTAAATATTTTTACAATGTCACTAATAAAATTAATTCTAATTGTTAGGTATAATGAAAAATGGTCTGGATTTGTAGGAAAAATTAATAAATGCGATTTCCATGTTACACCATTAATCAAAAATATTTTAAAATGTAACTAATGAAATTTTTATTGATACATTGACTTTTTAAAATCAAATCATTCTTGGTGTATGTATCTATTAATTATCATATGTATGTATATATACATAAATATATATATGTATATGTATCTAAAGTAAAAGAAAATGTGTGCATCTTGTTTGTCTCCCCTCACCTCTTACCTTTCACCTCTCACATTTTTTCACATCTTTTTACTGTGCAAGTTTGTGTTGTTTTTCGTTAGAATATGTACTTATTTCCTCATATAATTGAGTTGTATACAAATTATTGCAGCCTTTCTACTGTCGGAGCATCGATTATAAAGGACGTTTATTTTGATTAAGCTTTAGAAACTAATCTTTTATAATTATTATATACTATAGATTTTATAGTAGTTGACCTTCTTTATGTCTGTCTGTCTCTTCGTTCACGTGATAATTTAGCAACCATTTCAGAAGATTCTCTGCATGGGGTATCAAAATGCCTAGATATTGTAGGATTTAGTTGGTCAAGTCCGTTCATATATGAATCATTAGAGATCGCGATTATATATATTTTCTGATACACAGCGTTTAATAATATATCTTAATTTTCTATCAATTAGTAATAAACATGTGGAAAGAAATAAAATTCTATGTTAGTAAGTTAGAATAAATAGATTCTTCTGAAATAAATACCCATATCTATAATACCTAATAATATAATATATCATTCATAAGAAGAGCGCAAATGGGACTGTAGTACCTAGGAGTTGGAAGTAAACATTTAATAACGACAGATAAACTTCCGAGAAGGAAAGTTGGAACACTCTTGTATTGTTCTATTTAACCAGTCCAGAACATTGGGGGTATGCTTTATTTACATTACAGGTCAAGAAAAGCGTCCAGCACTTTCTCTATATGTTTATATGAATATGTGTTTTTAGACTAAATGCATTTTTATTGAATGTATGTTTATATCTGTGTGCTACTATTTGTTTAAATTATTATGTGTTTCGAGTCTTTTATAATAATACATACATATAATCATGGATTACATTTAGGCTGATATCAGAGTGGCCGCGATAAGCGATGCGATAATATGGAGCGACAATAAGCGAGAATTGATTTACATGTTGATTTACATGTAATCGCTTAAAACATGTCAGAGTGCAAGCGAAGCGAGAAGAGAGCCAAAGCGAGAAGTAAAGCGAGTTGCGAGAAAGCATTTCTGAAATGTTTTCTCTCTTTATCGCATAATAAAGCTTTTCTTATACGTGTGTTTTCGTTGCGTGCTGAGCTTTAATAACCGTTGGTTAGTCGGTGAAATATATTCTTTTTGGCAATTCAAGCAATATTTCTCTCTTTCACTCTGACATGCCAACGCTTTGCAGATCGCTACGATAATTCTCGCTTATAGTATCGCATCGCTTATCACGGCCACTCTGACATCAGGCTTAGAGTTGTCGAATAATTTAAAATATCTTATCAATGATATTTTAGGTTTTGAAAAAAATATCAAAATGATATTTGACATGCAACGTTTAAACTTTTTCCCCACAATATATATTTTCTATATAATCTATATAAAGAATAAAAACCGTTTAATCCAGTATGGGGTACTCAAAAGCATAATAGTGCTTGTTTTTCAAATGCGACGCCATATATGATGTGTTAGCATTTGTTATACCCTGACCCCATTGTAAATGGGAAATCAGGGTATAATAGTTTTGTTTAATGTATGTAACAGGCAGAAGTAGGCGTGGCAGACCCCACAAAGTATATATATTCTATGAACGCGTCGATCTCAGAAGATATAAGAGCTAGAGACTTGAAATTTTCCTAGGTCCGTGTATATTACGCGTATATCAAGTTTTGCTCTAAATGTCTATAGCTACTGCCGATATATTATTATCGTTTAAAAATGGCGTATTTCAAATACTAGAGACTTGTGCTTTAACATATACACGAACTTTAATGTTATATTAACGACTTAAAAGTTTCATGAACATAGTTCACTAACAAGAAAAGTTATTAAACAATTAAATTTCCATTGTAAGTCCACACTGCTGCCAATGCGTGTTTATGCTTGCGTCCCTATGTTTTTCTATGCGTGTGCTTCTTGTGTAAGCAGAAAGTCTCGAAGAATTATTGTGAAATACATATCAATTCTTCGAAGAGTTCAGGGGATTTCGTAGTCGAGCAGTCTCGACTAGAGCTTTCTTACTTGTTTTTATTATTATGTTATATATATATATTTAGTATACAAAAATATCTATGTATTGATATTTTGATATATTTTCAACAACCCTAGTTAAATTTCTATTTTGAAGATAACTCATTGAATTTCAAATCAAATATTGCTTAATGTATTATATTAAATATATGAACATATTGTCTGAATATCAGTTTTTGGAATTTGACGCAGAAGCACGATTACCTAAAATATATTCATTCTTGATCATAATTAATAGGCTCACCCTGTAGCATTTGTTTATCAAGTTTGATTTAAATAATCAAATTCGTGAAATCGACGTTCTGCAATTGTGGATTACCTATTTTGGATACCATTAAAAACCTCGGAAATATTTTTTAGTATTTCGATCTTCTTTCATTTTTAATTAAGAAATAGAATCACAAACCCATTTCATCACAAATCGATCCATTGTTCTATTGTTCAATTAAATCTGAAAGAAGATATGTATATATCTGTCCTTCAACTGTCTTTTTCTATATATGTATGTATATGAATGCTTGCAAAATACTATTTACAACCAAACAATGCAAGAAATTGTTTTAAATCTGTTTTTGGTGTGTGTTTTAAATGTTTTAATTTCAGCCACGATACGTATCGACATTTCTATCCAGTTTAGCATATGAAAGTTTTCACCCGTCGTAATTTATTAATTTGTAGTCGAAAGCGAAACCGTAAGAAACACCTTCAGTACGGGTATTGAATATTGAATTAAAAAAAAAAAAAAAGTAATCAAAATGATTATATGGAATATTTTTAGTTGCTATTATATCTATTATTATTTATTACTTGTGTTATAATAAATGCAATTGAAATTGATACTTTCCCGAGTTTCTGCAATAATTATCTTTTAAAATTTATTAAATTTAAATATTTATAAACATTAGAATGGATTTTCGTATAAAACAAGTAAAAAAGATCTAGTTGAGACTCTTTGACTACGAGATCCCCTGAACCCTTCGAGCAAGTGATATATCAATGTTTCTTCGCGTCTTTCTTACATGTTTTGTAATTTTTCTTTTTGGCTAAATTTGTTTGTGCACATCTTTTAAATGGTTTCATACGGTTTCATTTTCATTATATACGTATATAGTAGATGAAAATACTTTATATTTCGTAAATCTGTGCAAGTTTCACAAACTGTTGTTCTATTCAAATGTATACTAAGAAAAAAAAAAACCATTTATATATATATTTCAGTATATGTACATAATCTATTTGTTCGTATCTTTTTTATGTGTAGGATGAATTTCACCCATTCATTGAGGCATTATTACCATACGTCAAATCATTCTCGTACTCTTGGTTTAACTTGCAAGCTGCTAAACGAAAATATTACAAGAAACACGAGAAGCGCATGTCGTTGGAAGAAGAAAGGCATTGTAAGGATGAGCTGCAGGTAATCGAACATATCTTGTATTGTGCACTTAAATTGTGAATATATATATATATATATATATATTTTTTTTTTTTCGATAGAATGAAAAAACAGAAGTGAAACAGAAATGGGCGTCACGACTTTTGGGTAAACTACGAAAGGATATAACACAAGAGAGTCGAGAGGATTTTGTGCAATCGATTATTGGGAAACGTAAATCCATTTGTGTCCTATCGAATCCCGATCAAAAAGGAAAAATGAGACGCATCGACTGCCTAAGACAAGCCGACAAAGTCTGGCGTCTCGACCTCGTTATGGTTATACTCTTTAAGGCTATACCATTAGAGAGTACCGATGGCGAACGGTTGGAAAAGAATCCTGAATGTCTCCATCCCGGTCTGTGTGTCAATCCCTATCACATAAACGTCTCCGTGAGAGAGTTGGATCTGTATTTGGCGAATTTCATCAACACGCACAATTCATCAATAAATACCATCTCCAGTTCATTGCCTAGCAGCCGATCGGCCCAAGTTGCCATTTGCAGTCAACATCGAAACAATAATATACCAGTAGACAGAAAAGACGATAATGACATTGATGCGAAAACAGAAGGTCTTCGCCACAATCCATACAATGGTGTTGTTTGCAACGATATTATCCTGGCCACCGGAGTTTTCTCATCGCAGGAGCTCTGGACCCTCTCCAAAGGTATCGTACTATCACTATGATTTAACTTTCATAAGTTTATAATATAAAATAATAAAAATCAGTAATTCATATAAGTAGTTATAGCAAGTAAGAAACTTTCAGATCATGAAGATGACATGTAAAGCATGCGGAATAGGTCTTTGCAGATTTGGGGTGGTGAAGGAGTTGGATTTTGGGTGCCACTCAAAATATAGACGCTAGCTGTAAGGTGTACGTTATACATTTGTATACCCTGAGCCCAATGAAAATGGATAATTCATTAAAAAATGACATTTTGTCAGTAGCATACGTACAAGTTTACTTTGTAACCATACTAGTTTTGCATTTATCTTGTTCATATGTACATATGTATATCGTATATAAATTTGTCAAGTGTGAATTCTTGATGAGGAAGACTACCTAGGGGTCAGCATTCGTTAGGTTAGAAGGCCTGTGTACGATACGTATATGATTGTATGATGCTCGCTCCTCCCTGAACACTTGACGCGTCCTCCCTTGAAAGTGTAAACGTCTAAGTAAATAAATATTTGTATTTTGTAGACTCAATACTGGATGAAGTGAGTGATAATAGCTTGCAAACGAACATTATCAAGAGGGAGAATCTGGGAACGGCTTTTGACTGCAACACATATCAACTGACTCCCGATTCACCCATATCCAGCTCGCAGGGCCAGGCACAAGCAGGTGCTATTGTGGCCAATACAATTCCTGGCGGATACAGCAGTGAGTATTAACAATGTCTTTGGGGCAAATAATATCGTTAGTTTTCTGCAGTTGACTTTATCGATCAGAATCAGAGAAGCGTACACTTATCATCGTCTCCACTGCTGCGCGCAGATACGACAAATGGCTCGAGCGATGCATGCAAAATTGACCAAAGCTCGTCGCCTCCACTAATTTCATGTACAACAACAACGGGCACCGAGAACTGCTCAACTGGCAGTTTCTCTGTCGTCCTCCGATCAGCTGACAACATGAATTCAAGTGAGGAAATAACAACAGCGGCAGCTGAGTCCTCAATTTCCCTGAATCGATATACGCCTCTAAATAGTCGCCCCAGTGTAGCTATGCCAGCTATTCGCTCAGCAGAAGGTAAGTCCGGTGATGGTGCATTTAGATCGTAGGCTAGAGCACATTATTATACAATGTTCGAACCGGAATACATCTATGTAGAAAGTCTGGCTAATAAGCCAAGCTTGCAGCATAGCGACGACCACGATCAACTACATACATATGTCGTATAGGGTAGTTACAAGTTTTTGTCAACATCAACGTTCACTCTACCGGGGAAGCTGATCAAATGAAATGAAAAATTAAAACAAGAAAAATAAGCAGAACTGCCTAAGAGGGGGCGCGATAAGCGATGCGATGCTATAAGCGATCTGCGATCTACCGTAGCGATCTGCAAAGCGTTGGCATGTCAGAGTGAAAGAGAGAAATATTGCTTGAATTGCCAAAAAGAATATATTTCACCGACTAACCAACCGTTATTTAAGTTTTATGCGATCACATGTAAATCAACATGTAGAGCTTTCTCGCTTATTGTCGCTCCATATTATCGCATCGCTTATCGCGGCCACTCTGACATCAGCCTTACACGGGGTGTACAGTAACTCGGCTAAATCGAAAGCTTTCACAGTTAAGCTAAGGTCGTTTTGCTAATAGACCATGTTAGCTTGTAATCATTGGCTTTTGAATAGTAATATAAGTATTTTGTGTCTCTTTTCCATGTATATATGTCTATAGCCATATTGCATCACAACTGTTCGACATTTCTGGCAACGTCTGTTAGCCCGGTTAATACAATCTATTATCCGCAACATAGCAGTCCACGACTTATGCCTCATACGATATTAGATCAGGAACATGCACATGCCACACAACAACAACAACAAGAACAACAGCAACAACAACAACACCAGCAGCAGCAGCAGCATCAGCAACAGCAGCAACAACAGCAGCAGCATCTTGCCAGCGACACACATGATATAAGCGATTTTGTAACGTACGTTTGCCAAGATGGAGCAGGAGGTGGAGGGCATTCAACAAGCCTAGCGGCAGCCGCAGCCGCAGCAACCTTAGATAGTCCAGTCTTTCAGCATGCGCATCAGTTGTCCACACATCATAGCCATCATTCCCCTCACTATCAAATCCATCCACAGCTGAGAGCAACGAAATTGGGGGCTGCTCCATCGTCGTCCCATTATCATAGCACAATGTTGCCTCCGATGCTGCCACCGATGGCTCGACCTGTTGCTATAATACGCACCAGCGCTGATCTGGCAAGGGTCACGGGGCAGTCTTCCGCCACGTCCTCGTCGACGAAGGGCAGCACAGTGGCCAATGATGATGAGAATCGCAACATCAATTCAATGGATGGGGGTACCCAGAGTCCAGCTAATCCAGAGATAGATCCAAATACAAATGCGGATTGTACAACTTTGGTTTCAAGATCCTCGCCACAGTCGCAGCCACAGCCACAGCCACAGCCAGCGACCAGTCCTCATACCCATACAAGCGAAAGTCTCCGAAGTAAAATGCCATCGATTGCCTCGAATTCGCTAACTCGAATCGCAACGCCAATGTACCCCACGGCAAATAGTCGAGAGTATTTCAATCACTTTCATACCCAATCGACATCGGTAAGTACCTACATATTCTGAAAATGTCGAAGTTTTAATGCTTACTGGAATCACTAAACAAACACACACACCCTCGCTGCCGAACTCATTCAACCGTTGGCTAATGCAGTTTGATTTGCCAATAATTGAATATTAATATCACTTTAGGCAGAATACATCGGGAAAATCTATATCTCGCAACGTTTTAGACCTGCCAGTCAGAAGCGTTCAACAGAAACTTCGGTACGAGAAGATTGAAAAAGATTAAAAACCATCTCTTCTTGAGGGATTCCAGTTTCCTCCTAACTGCGCACTCTCCGCTAGGAGGAACTCTCCCTTGTGCATGATTACTGTTGTGAAGGTTTTTAAAGCTCTTAGAGCCCTTTAATCGCTGACATCTAGAATTTATGCGATATTGACCTCTCCTATATAATTTTAGATATATGTATGCATAACATAGCCGCCAAATTTTGGTTCTCTAATCAGTGCTGGGCACGCATTCAGAGACCCCATGTGTAACACGTGTAAATGTATACAAAGCATACATTCTTTTAGTTCAGTGAGGAATCTGGGTATAATGATTTTGCTTCTGACGGAACATAATTTCATACATTTCTTTTTATTTGATGTATATACTTTCTAAACAATTTTGAAAAACATGTATTTTGTTTCAGCTATTGGGCTATGCTGGATCTATTTCGACAATGTCTGGTGTCATGAGTCCAACAAATCTGAGTTTATATTCAACACCAACAATGACTGTGAGCTCTGCACATCGTTCAAATGCAAGATCCCGATGGAATAATGGACTAACCGAAGATGAATTTAACCTAATTCCGCACTCTGTAGCTAGTACAAATATAGAAAATACACAGGTTATATTGATGGAAGATTGTAAGTATTGTATTTAGTTCTGTTATAAAAAAATGAATTAAAAATAGGAACTATTGATATATCATTAAAGCCTATAAATAGGAAAGGAGAGTAATACTCCTGCTTCTTCTATGCATAAGTAGCAAATTACACATGTACACACATATGTATACGCGTATAAGCACTATCTATCGATTCTTATCGATAAAACGAAGCGTAATGAGTTATCGAAATTATGATAAACTTATATTGTCTATGGTATATTCGAATATACATGTAACATAAGCTTTAGTATTTTACAAGATCTCTTAGTTAAGAAAAACGGGCGTGGCGTTCTAAACTCGCGGGTTGTGGGGTGAGGCATAGGCTATCGAATCTTATGTGCTACTTTTATTTTTATTCCATGCCCATGCGTGAAAGAAACACGCATATGATCATGCACTAACCCAGGTTGTGTTCACTTGTTTGACATTAATACTTGAATTCTTTTCCATTTCAGCAACGGGTCGTTTCACTGATGAATACTCTACAAATGCAAATCGTGATTATGTTTAATAAATTACCAACATAATATTGTGGAGCTATGCTTCGGGCAAGCTAAAGCTGATATACAATTATTAAGGCATATTTAAAAAGAACAAACATACTGATATTCTCCCATAACATACATTGTACATATGCATAATATAAACAAAAGTAAAAGTTGAAACAATTATACATAAAATATTTGGTTATATAGATATACATAAAAAAAAAAAAAAAAAAAAAAACAAAATATAAAATATAAATAAAATATATATAAATACAAATATATGTTGTGGGTATGTATTCATCAACGGTCTTGAATACATACACACACACATATAAAAACACTTTTTGTTGATTCACTTATTTATATGACTAAATAGAAGTGTAAATTAATACATAAATAAATTATATTTTTAACATTTTTAATAGAAAATAACAAAAAAATATAATGTATGTAAGAACCATGAAAACTTTTTATCATGGTTATTAGTTCCATGTGCAGGCAATAAATTATAATAAACATGTACATATTTTTTAAAGACTTTAGAGATTAAAAAATATATTTAAAATGAGCAATAAGAAATTTAATGAATATATATTGTGACAATATTTACTTAGATTTAGTAACAATTGTGACAAAAAACAGATATACATATATATATATATATATATATATGCCGATCCCGATTTAAGACTATACAAAAGCCCAAATCTTTTAATGCAAAGCGCATTTCGGATCGTGAGTTTAATTAAGTTGCTCTTCAATTATTTTGGAACCTGCAAATTTAAACAAAACAAAATGTGTAATTTGAAATTTATAACTTCATTAACACATCGCACAGCAATATGTGGTCGGTATAGTCTGTGTGTATGTATATATATTTTTAAACTTTGATAATATTTGTACTGAGTACAACAACAATAAAAAAATATTTATATATATATATATATATATATATATATATATATATATATATATATATATATATATATAATTATAGCAATAACAATCGAAAAAAAACTAAATTAAATATATTTATTATACGTCAACAAATTGGCTGTGAATATATAGTATATTGCTAATGCTGAGTAGATTCATTCGTACAAGTATCTTTATAGACATATAATAATAAAATATAAAGTTATTCACAAGCAAGGTTAACCTACGAAAATAAAATAAAAAGAGTGCTATCAGTTACTTTATTAGTTAATATACCAATACCTATATATGGCATGTATGTATATATATACATAATTAAACAGTTGTAAACTATAAAACAAATAAAAAACACATGAAAATCAAATTTTATTGTCTTTATCAATCATTTTTACAATAACCAAGCACCGACCTTAAATTTTAGAATAACAATCCTTACCAGCGATTCATCTGTAATTTGGTTGTTACATTTGGAGTGTTTAGCGTGCTTTTGTAGTTTGTAACGCTCTCAAAGAAGGGTAGAAAGTATATTTCGGACAATGATAGAAATCAACAGTAACTCCAAATAAATCTTAATTTAAATCATTTAAATTTAAACTAAATTCCACTAAAATAAGTTCTGTTGAGATGAGGATAAATTCTAAACAAACAATTGAGAGTGCCCTATTCGACATTGCTCTACTACGAGATTCCCTGAAGACCTCGATGAGCTGATAATCCAATAATTATTCGTTTTTTTTTCTGCATAGACACGATCTCTGCTGACGGTTTGGTTTTCTCGGAGATGAACTCTCTTTATCAACCGTAAATGTGAGTATTTACCAAAGCACAGGGATCTAGCATGCCCAATAGGTTTTGCCAAATTTTGAGGGCAGGGGACCGTATCCTAAATATACTAAAATAATATTTTATATTAAATATACACGAGCTTATATGCGTAATTTTGAGACTCTACATCTAAAAATAAACAACCTATAATAAGCTTTTAGTTCATAAGGTTTTGCAATGCAGGAACTTACAAAAGCATATTATAGTATTAACGACGACAAGGCCATTCATAAGGAACTGATTGGGCTGTATCGACTCAGCTCGTTGTCCTGATCAGTAATATATATTCTTTACGGGCTTTGCGACACCTCTTTCTGCCAGTTACATATATTTAACAAAAAATAAATCTAGAAATGCATAAGTAGTCATGTTCGGATAAGAGATACCCTGTACCTTGAAAATAACAACTTTTGAGATGAAATGATTGATGTTTATCGGTAATAAGCAATAATGGGATAGAATACGGACGAGCATGCGGACGGACACGCAAAGCTAGAGCAACTCAGCCATTTGTCACGCATGCTCCACCTTGTTTTATATATTGACTTCACAATTATATTTTATTTCTCATAAAATGGATTCTGAGTGTAAAAAACCAAACTTAATATACACACATAGATACATACATATAATTATAATTATATTTACACATCACGCCGACAGAGAGCGCGAGTATCTAAGTTTTTAATTTATACACATGTATATATGTATACAATACAGTACCGAGCAAAAGTGAGTGAATGTTTCACAACTTTGACTTTCATCGCGCATAAAAATTGAACCATACACGCAAATTAAGATTTTGTTTTTTATACTTAGTTAGTTTAGTTGCAACGCTAAATTAGCTTAACTAATGAATTAAAAATAAAAAACCAAAAAAATCCACATAAAATCTATTTTGCACGTTTCATGAATTGCCAATACTTTGGCTCTTCTACTTCTCTTCTCAGCCGAAATCATCCAGATTTCCCCATAACTTAGTTCCTTGGGTATTCTTTTTAGTCGTAGATTGAGCATGTAGATTTACCGTTATCTGAGTCCTTTTAATATTCTTATTTGTAAAGCGATTTGAAGCACAATTTCTTTTCGCAACAAATTTAAAATAATTGGTGAAAAATAATTTAAAAATGAGGAAAATTTCAGTCGACATTAAGAATAGTGGTGTGTGCCTGACCGGGAAGGGCTTTCCTTCGCGTACTATTGCCGAAAAGCTTGGTATCAGCCGAAATTTGACTCCGAAAACTCAAGTCAAAGGTTACAAAAAAAAAACTGTTGTCGGACTCTGAAAAACAAGCTCCTAGCACTAAAGGGTGCTTCTCTAGCAATCAATAAAAATGTTAGCAAATGGACTGCTAGAAGAGAAATTCGTGGATTTTTTCGGTTCTTTATTTCTAATTCTTTGAATTTCGCTAATTTAGCCTTGCAACTTTTTTGAATTTGCTAAGAACATAATAATAAACAAACACACAAAAAAATTTGTTGATTTGTTTGTATGGTTAAATTTTTATGCGTGATAAAAGTCAAAGTTCTGCAACATTCACTCATTTTTGCTCGGTACTGTATATAGAGAAAAAGCGAGAGAGAAGGAATGTCTGCGTGTATATATATTTATAAACATTTGTGTACATTTACAGAGCGATATTTTCTCAAGAATAAACTTTTTTTATGTATTCTATCTTTTTATGCCTCTCAAAAATATTTGACGTTATTCTCGTGACTTGAGTTTGTTGAACAGTCCAAAATCGATGTGACTTTTTAAATTTGCATAATTATAAAAAAAAAAATATATATATATATATATACTTATATATATATATATATATATATATATATATATATATATATATATATATATATTATATATATATAATATATATATAGAGAGAGGGAGAGAGAAAGAGAGAGAGAGAGGGAGAGAGAGTCAATATAAAATAATAATAGTAATTATATTGTGAGTATTATTCATATGTAAATAAAATTCAATATAAATTATTTTTGCATTCCATATATAAATTGAAATTATATTACGTATTTTTATCTCGTGTGCCTATGTATTAAATACATAATATAAATACATATATATACTGACAAAAGCCAGTATAATAAACTATGATTAGTGCGACCATAAATAAACAACAAACTAAAAAGACTTTATTGAAATGTTTCATTTGGATCAGCATTCCTTCAGTAATAAATAAATAAATTCACGAGATCTGTAAATAAGTATATATACTATTTATATGTGTACGTGTGTGTCATACTGCTGAATTGCTATAATTACTTAAGTTAAAAAAATCGTGAACTACCATAAATCAATGTCTTAATTGTTAAACCTTTCACAGTTTATTATCGAATTTAATAAGTATCTGTTGAAAAAGCAAACCGGTAAACAATGCAAGCACAGTTTGGAAAAAAAAAAACAATAAAAAACACAGTAGTGAAGAGAAATTAATTTCATTGATTTCTTGTAGATGGACTATCTTCATTGAACTTTAAAATTATTTACATTTTAAAGTGTTCGGGTATTCAAAACAAATTCTACACATGAATTCATATTTTTTTTTAAATTTAAAGACTCTAGATAAAGATCAAGACAACGTTTTTTATAAGGGTTTTAATCGATAGTATTAAAAAAAAATAAGTACAAACATTTTTTTAGTCAAGTCAAGTTTGTAGCTGTTGTACTTTCTCTCGCTCTCTCTCTCTCTCTCTCTTTCTCTCCCTCTATATATATATATATATATATATATATATTTTTTTTTTTTGTTTTGTTATTTTCTTATATATATTTTTTTATAGATCATTTGGTTTTCATCTCTGAGGACTGCGCGTAAATTGATATTATTTCTGTAGAACATAAAATTGAAAGATCGAGTATGTTTTTTTTTAGATGGCAACTGCACAAGAACTGGATAAAATAAGAAAATCAAAAATGTCAAATGCATCGACCAATAATTTGCGTCAGCCTGTGACCGTGATAAAGAAAAAATCGGCCCCATTAGATAGTGTGATCGATGAGCTGCAACAACTAGAAGAAGCTGAGAGTCACACAAATGCTAAACAACATTCGACAGGGACGTGTGCGTCGACTGGACGGCGACGCTTCCAGTCGAAGGATAAGAATAAGAAACGCGAGCGTTGGCTATTGACACGAAAAACTTGGCGGTATATGACAGATGCGGGCCGCAAGTTGTTGCCCGAAGGAAAGACATTCCATGGCTCAGATAGTATAGCCCAAATAGAAGAACAATTTCAGCGTGTCTGTGCGTCAGAGCCACGGTTCATATTATGGCGTCGAAAGTCCTCGTTTCCAGGTGCTACAAAGAGCTGCTCCAAGCGACGTCTCAAAATACTCTCTCAGCATCGGGGCCATAATAATGCCGCACAGATCCATCAACGAGCTCAAGAGCTGAATGAGAATATAGACGTAACTATAGAGCTATTACAGTCCTATCTCAAGATTCGAGATTCTTATAAGACGACAGCGTTGCTGGGCACCAAAACCGTGCGTCCAGATCAAACATCTTCACCGAGCTCACAGCGGCCGAACTATGAGAGTAAACACTTGAGCTCAACTGATTTGCATGTGAATAGCCCTAGCTATGAATCAATGCTGTTGAAAAACTTGAAATTATTGAAAAATTCATCGTTGTCTGGCATAGGGTTCGATAATGACAATATAACGCTAGCAATACTTGAAGATAAGGCTTCGTTAAAAAAGATATATAATATATTGAAGAAGCAGCAATTACATCGTATTTTACATTCCACTGAACCACCATCGAGTAAAGCTAATTTAGCTAGATCTACCTCATACTCGAGCCTTCTAAATAGCAACGCGGACAACAGCTGCTATGGTAGCACCTCAAAGTATCTGTCAAACATTCAAGATTCCGTTGAATTGATTCAAAGGCCCAGGCCTATCGAATCGTCAAATGCAGTTAGACGCACACAAAAGCCACCGGAATCCCTCGCACTAAGGGGCAATAGTACCAAGAATTTGGAAACAAAGATAGTTAATAAGATTCCAATGAATTCTTGTGGAACGCAAACAAATTTTGTTCAATTATCTGAATTAAAATTATTAGCGGAACAATATGAGCACTTTCTGAACGATAGCAATTATAATAAAAATAATAATTCAGAGAACGACGAAGCCGATAAACCGCCATTGGGCAACCATATTTCCAGCCACAGACGTAGCTCGATCGATAACGAAGACGTCTCCCAGTCAGTTAGCGATACGATAAAACGATATTTACGCATGGCCCGAAAGAAAAGTTTGCATAATGGCGATGCGAACCGTTTTAAGTCTGTTAACTACGATCGAAATCTGCGTAATATTAAGGCAAAAGGCGAAATCAACCCACCTGGCATGGATGAAGGCAACAATAAGGCAGTACAGACGTTAGATGCGTGGGCGCAAGTTGCTTTGGATTATATTCGCGGAAATGAGAATTCAATCAATTTACAAAACGCCCACATTGCCTGGCAGAAGGATCTAGATGAGCGTATTCGAAAGAAATACGAGTGGGATAAGCAATTTAAAGAGCGCAACACTGACGCACAGTTCAGTAGCCTCAATAGAAAGTCGATTGGACAGTCTCCTTGCCTGTCAGCGCCCAACTCCCCAACAAGCCCCATTCAACATCTTCAGCATCATCTGCCAAAGGAGAAGAGTTTACGAACTGCTACCGCCATATTATCCTCTAGCTCACACTTTCTATCAAATTTCTGGCATGCTAACAGTAATGATCCCTCCAGTACACAAAGCTTAAAGTATGGGAATATAAGGGAATCATTTGTGAGTAAGTATGCGTACGCACATGTACATATATGATATATATATATATATGATATGATGATATATATGATATATATATATATATATATATATATATATGCAATTTCATAATTATTTATAAACGCAATTGCTTTTGCTGTTGACTGGCATTTCATATATTTTCGGTAGCTATGCTAAGTATGAAATGGCCCTTCCGCCTGTCTATACACCTCCTCCTCAAGCGTTAGAGCGATAGGGAAAAAGAGAGAGAGAGAGAGAGAGTTAGAAAGAGGGGAGAAGAGAAAGGGGAAAAAGAAGAGAGAGATGGAGAGCGTGACAGATAGAAAGGCGGGTAATGAGAGCGAAAGGGAGAGAGTGAGTGAGGCCGAGAGAGAAAACTAAAGAGAGAGAGACAGATTTTTGTTTTTGCCTTGTCCTTTAACGTTGATAAATCTACCATTCATTGATATATCCCTAATTGATCCTAATTTTTCGGTTCACTTTCAGATTCAGATAAAAATGAAACGACAAATATGCAGAAATCAAAATCTTTATCTAATGTTGGACATTTTGTATCAAAAAAAATTTGGGGAAGTCGCTCCAAAGGTCAAAATAGACAAAATGATAGTCACGACTTTGTAGCACAGCAACAAAAATGGACCCCTCTGGTAAGAAGTATATAATTATAAATATTGAAGATCAACCTAGTTGAATGATGTTATTATACACTTTTGTACATCTCATTTCCGTAGGAGAAATACTCATGGATATCTGAAGAAGGTCAGATTCTCCAACTAACAGATACGTCATTGGAAAAACTTTCAAATATCGAAGCTGAGGTGCTGATGCACATAGCGCTACAGAAAATTAAGGAGCTAAATATTGGCATGTGCATAGGTAAATTATTCGAGGTGTTGCATATTCACATTCTTGGTACAAAATTATATTTAGATTTTTTATATTTATTTTGATTCAGATTTAGATCGAAGCACGCAGAAAACTCGAGCCATATCAAAAAAAAGAGCACTTACAACAAGTTTTTTTGATATTGGCCGAAAGGATGAGCACAGT